TGACAAAACGAATGATGCTACACAAACGGCTGACTTGTTTTTCAAGGAGGTGGTGCGTTTACATGGCTTGCCAAGGACCATTGTCTCCGACCGTGATACAAAATTCCTGAGCCACTTTTGGAGGACTCTATGGAGGAAGCTTGGTACGAAACTGCTGTTCTCAACCACTTTCCACCCCCAAACGGATGGCCAAACTGAAGTGGTAAACCGTACTCTTTCCTCTCTACTTAGAGTTACCCTTGGCAAGAATCTAAAAACTTGGGTTGATTGTTTACCATTTATAGAGTTTGCTTACAACCGAGCTATTCACTCAGCTACTAAAATGTCCACATTTGAGGTTGTTTATGGTTTTAACCCACTAACCCCACTTGATCTTTCGCCAATTCCCCAAGTTGAGCAAGTTAATCTAGATGGTCTCAGGAAAGGTGAATTCATTAAGAAGCTACACGAGAGGGTCCGAGAGAACATCTTGAAAAAGACGGAAGCTTACAAGAAACATGCTGACAAGAAGCGAAGAGAGATGACGTTTGAGCCAGGAGAATGGGTCTGGCTACACATGAGGCAAGAAAGGTTTCCCCAGAGGAGGAGTTCTAAGCTTGCACCGCGAGGAGATGGACCATTCAAAGTTCTAGAAAAGATCAATGACAATGCATATCGTTTAGATATTCCAGGTGAGTTTAACATATCCCATAGCTTTAATGTTACTGACTTATCCCCTTATGATGCAGATGATCCAGTTTTGAGGACAAAACCTCGCCAAGGGGGAGGGGATGATGAGGACATGGACCGTATGACCGTACCGGGTCGAGAGGATGGCAGTAGCAACGACCAGCAGCCCGTACCGGTACGAAGGGAGCTGGACTCGAACACCATACCATCCGTACATGGCTCTCCCATGACGCGTTCTAAGACCAGGAGGTTGAGAGAGGGGTTTAACGAGGCAATACAAACTCTTTTGACCAACATGGACGTGGAGAACATACTTAGCCCCCAACCATTCTCCATTGCACCCGAACTAGACATTACCGAGGACTTTGCCAAGATGAGCCTCAAAGATGACCGTACTAGCATAAACCAAGGTATGAAAGTTTCTTTGACAGGAAATGGCGTTCAGAACATCAACAAACCCACCAAGACTGTACCAAAGCCGCGAGACACACCAAGTACAAGTATAGAAGTCGATAGAGCATCATTGGAGCAAGAAGATGGATCAAGCCCCGAACGTGGAGAACCTCATGAAGACATGTACCAGCTCGACTTCTACACTCACCAATATGAAGAGAACGTTGAGAAACTCACCCCAACCGCACCAGAACAAGCAATACTCACCAACGTACCAAACAAGCATCAAGCGTGCCAAAACCAGGTATTCTCAATTTATACAATTTGTGCAGGTACTGAGGCTTGCCTCAATGGTTCTTAAGCATCCCAACACGCCAAGGAATCACCAGTTCGAGCCACAAGCGATTAGACTAAGTTTAGCTATTATTTTCTTTTTAGTTAAGTGAACTTTCCATTTTCATGTATTTTTACCTTATGCGTTTTGTAGCTTTTTCTTTACTTTGTGTTGTCGTTTCTTTACTTTATTTCGGCTTTAGGGCTAGCTGACGAGCTGTTTAAAAGCTCTCCTGCAGCCTTGTATGATTTTTACCCTACATTATCAATAAAGACTGAACTTTCTTCCAAAAGCAATAGCCGCCGCTTTGCCTTTGTTCTTGCTTTGTTCTTGTTCGTGTGATTCGTGCAAGACCAAGTGTTGCTGTATCAGGGAGCCCTCCATCCTCTCTGTGGTGCCATCATTCCACTTCATTACTCCATTCATTCGATCCCTCAAGAGAGAGCGTCATAGCCAGTTTGACAGATCCCATCTCGGTTCAAGGAGTGACCATCACGCCTTGTTCTATCATTCTCACCCCTTTGCCAACACAAGAGAGCGTCAAAGCCAGTGTGTTGTCTCCACCAAGCCACCTACTCTGATCACTGTAACACTCTCAATCGAGTATTACGTCACCTCGGAATAGTACACGGGAGTGGGTCGGCCGAGCTAGTGTGGCGTGTGTCAGCGTCTAGTGCAGTCTAGGTCCACGTGTCAGGCTTTCTCTTGAACCAGTAAAATGGGTCCCAACAGTTGCCCCCGACTTATTGGCTTATCGATAGATGAGCCAGGGAGTCAAAATCCTCCTTGTTTTCCTGTAAAATGAACACATGTTATCCAGTTACCTAGGTGACCTGTAAAATGAATACATATTTTTTTATTGAAAGTCTTATTAATGATGTGTACCACTGCATATATAATTCATAATTCATGTTGATTCACATTTAATTTTGTTAGAAAGCTGCAATGATCATGCAAAACCATTTTTTTTCCTTCTCCACCATATCTTCCAAGAGTTTGATGTTATCTTTTCATTTAGTGTTCATTGATATCTATTTTTTACAGTCTAATATTTGATAATTTTAGTTTTATATAATTTAATATGTAATGTGTAATTTTATCGGTGGTGTGGAGTCTTTGTATTATTTTTTACTGTTTTTATCTTTTGTGTGCAATATACATGCTTTGATTTGAATATTTCATCTACATATAGCAATTTGAGTTTGATTCATAATTATATCATACTTTATTATTTAAGTAGAATTTTAGAATGTGTATTGATGTTGATTCTGATATAAGTAGTGGCTATATATAGAAATCATATTTTACTGCTTGTTAAATATCGAGTGTAAAGTTATTATAGTGTTTTTAAATCAGAAACATCAAGTGTATTAATCATTGTATATTTAAAAATATATTTGGTTTAGAAACTCATGTAAACTTATTGCAATTTTAGATAGTTATTCATTGTTGATACTAATACTTTAGAAATCAGAAACTTTTTGAAACTAATTTTAAATTAATTTTGTTATTTTTTTTTATAATTTACATCTTTCTTTTGATAGTAATTTTTTATTTATTTTAATTTATATACTTTTGGTATGTTTGATATACTTAGGACTTATATTCTTTTTATTAAGCTCTTTTGTTGTTGATTTTCCAAATAGGTATCATAGACATCACATTAATTTCTTTTATACAGATATTTTTTCTTTGTTAAATTTGTTTTTTATATTATTTTTAATTCTAGTTATAAATTTGATTTGATATGCTCTAACTGTTGAACTTGAATCTTAGATGGACTTTTCTAAAAAACTTATAGCATCATTTGTTTATTTTTGTTAAGTTTTTTATATATTGAGTTTCAAAATCTTTTGTCCAAGTTAGTTTTCTTTTATACGAGTTTTTCTTTTGTTAATTTGCCTATTTTGATAATGATTCCTATTTTATTTTGAAACATAAATTTATAACATGTTGAAAGGTAAAAAAGCTTTTAATAAAAACACGTTTAATTTCTTATCATATCATAATAGCTTTAAATCAGTTTGGTTTCATATTTAAAAACACAATAGAAAATTAAAATTTGCTGAGGTATATGCATGTGAGTGTACTTATTATGTCAAATAGTCAATATAGTCAGTAGTTGGTTCAATATTTTTGTGAGAAAAAATCGGGTGGAAGAAGTGGAGTTCAAAAATAATACTTCTACATGATGCAATTTAAAGTATGGTGTTAAGATTTAAAGAAATCTTATTATCTAATTTATTTCAGGATTCATCATATTTTCATAAAATTAAAACAATAGTAATTATATGTTTGAAATTACAAACCTTGAAATGTTTTTGGGTTCATAATTGTGGCTAGGAGCACGACAGGTTTAACAACACTTTTTATTATTTTTCTTTGAAAATTGGTGGAAGAGTAACACGAACAAATGGCCCACTATTTAGAAAATGTAAAAGGGTGGTAAGTAAACATAGATTGTATTCCAGATTAGAATATATATAAATGACTTGTTGAGAAAACATGCTTATCTTTTTAATTTCAAGTGAACATTTATTTTATTAAGATTTCTACCATTGGCGATATCATTAGCTTAACTAGACAAAGAAAGTTCTCGTCGTTGATGATAATAATTTTTGTAATAGCATCTAGACAGTATATAACATTATTATATATTTGTATATATGCAATTCATTATAAGTTATAAATTTTTCTAATATATGCTGTAAGTTTTAACTTTTACGATATTGATTTGTTGGTTAGTTTGACTTTTTTTACATTAAATTTCTATAAATTTCAAGAGATACTATATTTTGGTTTTTTAATATAATTTTATTTTCTATTTGTTACTTAATCATTTTTTTTGGATTTTTTCTATAAAACGAAATTAATACTTTTATTTTATTTTTTGTCAATTAATTTAGTAGTTATAATTTTTTTAATCTACATTATAAGTTTGAATTTTTATGATATTGGTTTTTTATTTGTTTATCTCTTTTGAAAACAAATTTCCATTTTATTTTGAAGAATACTATTTTTTTTAGTTTTTTTAACATAACTTTCTTTTCTATCTTTTTTTTATTAACAACAACTTTCTTTTCTATTTGTTAGTTAAGCCTTTTTATTTTAATATTTCCATCTATAAAACAAAATTAATGTTTAAATATTGACCGATGCTATATTTTGGGTTTTTTAACACAATTTTCTTTTTAATTTGTTACTTAATCTTAGCACTGCCCTTCGCAAATGTCGTGCAAGTTTGGCAAGATGTAAGTCTGCTTTCGCATCTAATTCATCTCTAAAAATAAGCAACTTGCAACAACTTCTCCAGAGCGTTTATAATTCGTACCCTTTGGATTTTCATTATATTGGTGATCTCAAATCTTAACTTCTATATCAATATAGGCTGGAAGAAGAATACTGGCGTACAAAAAGTCGAATTCAATGGTTGCAAGCAGGTGATCGGAACACAAGGTATTTTCATAAAAAAAACTAAACAAAGACGTAGCCATAATCGGATTACATCTATTAAGAATCATCGGGGGCAGATTCTTCACTCTGAAAAGGAGATTCACGATCTTATCCAAGATTATTTTACTAATATCTATACCTCTGAATGCAGTTTGAGACCAGAACAGGAAGTCCTTCTCTCTTACATAAAGCCGCGTGTTACTGCTAACATGAATCACCATCTACTTCAACCCATAACCGATGAAGAAATCACAAGAGCTCTCAACCTTATGCACCCTGACAAAGCTCTAGGTCCTGATGGGCTCACAACAGGCTTTTATAAACATCACTGGCACATTATCGGCAAAGGTATGATTGCTTTTGTTAAGTACTTCTTCTCTCACGGCTTTCTTGATCCTGAATTAAACCATACGCATATCTGTTTAGTTCCAAAAATTCAATCTCCCTTTGAAGTTAAGGACTTCCGACCTATCAGTCTTTGTAATATAGCGTATAAACTTATATCTAAAATTTTAGCTGAGCGCCTTAAACCTTGGTTGAATACTGTGATTTCTGAGACTCAAACTGCTTTTATTCCTGAGTGACAAATTACTGATAATGTTATTATTACTCATGAGCTCCTTCATTCAATGCACACTCGTAAAAGAGTTGCTCCCCATATGGCTTTTAAATTAGATATAGCCAAAGCTTTTGATAAGGTTGAGTGGTCATATCTTAATTTCATGCTTAAGTCCCTGGGTTTTGCAGATCAGTGGCGTCATTTGATCATGAGCTGTGTCACTTCAGTTTCCTATTCCATTCTTATCAATGGTGCACCAGTTGGTAATATCAAACCAACGTGGGGTTTAAGGCAAGGTGATCCTCTTTCACCTTGTCTCTATCTTATCTGTACTGAAGATTTATCTTATATGCTTACCAAGATGGTTCACCAAAAGCAACTTCATGGTTTTCGTGCTAGTCGTGGGGGTCTAGCCATTTCCCATATGTTTTTTGCTGACGACTCTCTATTATTTTGTAAAGCAGAGCCCTCAGAATGTCAAACTCTACTTGATACTCTATAACGTTATGGCAATATCTCCGGCCAGTTCGTCAACTATTAGAAGTCAGCCGTTATTTTCAGTAAGCACACTCCTCTTTCTTTGCAGAATGCTTTATCAACTCTCACAGGAATCCCCAAGATTGGTTCTTTTGGCAAATATTTGGGTCTTCCTGATGTCATAGGTCGCTCTAGGAGTGATGTTTTTTCTTTTATTCAGCAGCACTTATCTCAACGCCTAGATAGTTGGTATTCTAAGCTTTTATCACCTGCTGGCAAGGAAGTGCTTATTAAAGCAGTCGCTACTGCTTTACCTACATATTGTATGTCTTGTTTTCTCTTGCCTAACAAAGTGTTAAACTCAATGAATACAGCCATACGTCAATTCTGGTGGTCTGCGCAAAAAGAACGTCATCAAATCCACTGGATAGCCTGGAACACAATTACAAATCCAAAGAAGTTTGGCGGTCTAGGGATCAAAGATTTGCGTGACTTCAATTTAGCTCTTATTGTTAAGCAATCTTGGCGGATCCTTCGTCACCCCAACACCTTGATGGCTAAAGTATTGCGCGCAAAATATTTCCCTCATAACCATCTCCTAGATGCCACTATATCTACTCGTCCCAGTATAATCTGGCGTAGCATTGTTCAAGGTAACCATCTCATTTCTAAAGGTCTTTGCTGGATCGTTGGTAATGGCAAACAGATTCGGGTTTGGCAAGATAACTGGATTCCTCGTTTAAGCTATGTCCCTGCACAACCAATTGCTCGATCTTCCAATCCTGATTTAAGAGTATCTGACCTCTTTATTTCAGGTATTTCTCAATGGGATGAATTTAAGCTCTGTCAGCTTTTGGATCCTTCTGATATCCTTTTTGTTCTACGCATTCATCCTAGTCTATCTCATTGTGACGATTTGCCTAGCTGGAGTTTCACTAAAGATGGACTCTAGTCAGTGAAATCAGGTTACAATTTTCTCCGGGATGAACAACTACCAAGGCCTTCTCCTAGTTTCCAACTGCATCAACGTGTCTGGACTTTTCCAATTCCACCTAAGCTAAAACATTTTTGGTGGTGAAGCCTCCACAGTGCACTCCCTGTAGCAGACACTATTCAAAGACATCATCTCCGCATTGACTCCACATGTATTCTTTGCGGATAACACCCAGAAACTTTGAATCATCTTTTTTTTCAATGTAGAGTATCTAAAGAAGTTTGGGAGCTCTCTACAGTGCTCGTACCTACAGGTACTCAGTCAAACTCTTACACTCAAAATATTGACGCTTTTATTTCGGCTAATATACCACTACGAGAAATCTCTCATTTATTCCTCTTCATTGGATGGAGAATTTGGAAAATGAGAAATGATTTCCTTTTTCAAAATAAATTGTGGTCTATCCCAGATATCATTGCCAAATCTATTCTGGATCACAAGTTATGGTCACAATCATTATCTCAAGACAGTGTCCCCCAAAGGTATGGATCTCTTCAACCACCTTCCCAAACATTGCTATCTACTCAGGGATGCAATGATTATGTATGTTATGTAGATGGTTCGTGGACCTAGGAAAGTCATAAAGCAGGTATTGGCTGGATACTTTGTAATTCTCGTGGCCACCAGCTTCTCAGTGGATCTGCGTCTATTGATTCCATATCCAATCCATTGGAAACTGAAGCTTTAGCTCTTCGAGATGCAGTAAGTCGTCTCACGTCTTTGAACTATCAAAAGGTCGTTTTCATGGGTGATTGCAAGGCTTTATACACCCATGTGAATCAGAGATTGCGAAAGCAGCCTGTTTCTCATAGGCTTCCTCAATTTTTGTCTCCTTGTATTGAGGATATTCTATGTTTCACTTCAAAACTCCGACCTATATGTTTCAGGTGATTCCACGGAATGATAATATAGCATCGCACGGAAAGCAAGAATGAAGGCTAACGGCTATACAATCTCATGGCACTAAACTCTTCTTCGACCTTTATCTTTCTATTTTCCTTACTGCTGTTTACTTTTCTTTTTTGAATACTCTTTTCTATTTGGCTGTAATCTTTTTTTGTATTACACTTGTTTGTCATGTTTTATTAAATAAAATAGTTTGCCGACAAAAAAAAAAACTTTTTCTGGTTATAAAACAAAATTTGCCATCAAAATAAAAGAAATAAAAATATGCATATTCAGTATATGTTGTCGAATCTATATATCCACCCGATCACAATGAATAAAATAATATATAGATGATAATGAACTAAACACCATATCTCATTTTTTTGCAAGAACTTAATTTTATTTCCTAACAGTTATATAGAAACTAGGTAATAACAGTTGTCAAGAATTGAATAGCATAGCTAAAATATAATAATACATGATCGGTACCAAAACTATAGTTTCGAAATATCTGAAACCCAAAATACCCGACCAGATCAAATTTGATTCCTATAAAAAATATCGTAGAAAGTTAGTTGATAATAAATGTTTCCTATCAATTTTCTATCAAAATACATAGTATCTTATTTGTCGTTGAAAATCGAATGTGGTAAATAACTCGTAAGAAATTTCTAACAAAATAGAGTTGTAGGAAAATACGTCAGAAATAGTGGTAAGAATTTGGTGAAAATTAATTCCTATCGAAAATTAATTCCTACTACTTATCTAAAAAAATATTTAATTTTTTTCTACTATTTTTCTACCACTTTCTACCAATAATATTTAACTTTAAATCTGTATTAATATTAGCAACAAATGAAGTTTCTATCTCATTCGTTATTGCCACTTTATCTTTCAGAAAAACCTAGAGTTCTCCATTTCTCCCATCAAGCACTCGTCTCTCTCACTCTCCGATCAAACTTTCGACTCTCTCACTCGCTCTTTGTCCACCTTCCTGATCGCTCTCGTCAGATCTTTCAAGAGTTTTACCGGTTTCAAATCTCTCTCCATCTTCAACTCGATCGGCGATTGCATTTTATTCCTCAACCATTCGCTTCACAAGGTAAATAAATCATAACTCTGTCACTTGGATTGAGTCAAAGAAGCTCTATATTGATCTCTGGTACCTCATTGTTTTAAATTATCATAGGATTTCGTTTACATCTATGTACACTAAACATGCTCTTTTTGATTGATCGGTGTCGGACGGCTCCCACAGCGTCGGCGTCGGTCAGTCCTTTCCTTTTTGCTGTTCTATTGGCTTGTAGTTTGCTTTTAGGCTTGTGATGAGAATCGATGGGTAGTCCGTTTGGTGTGGAGTTGAGGCAAAGAGGATTAGATCTGAACGGATCTCGGCTGTTGCTAAGCGGATGGTGCCGGATCTTTTGGATCTTCGGTGTGGCTGATTTTTATCTGTAGGTGGCAAAAGCTAGCTCGCTGGGTCCGCGTGTTTGAAGTGCTGATCCTCTCAGGTTTGTCATGGGTCAGATGTCAAAGTTTCTTTCAACTTGATCCTAAACCTTCTTGTGTTCCTTGCTTCCTGGTTATGGTATTGTTGTTATTATCAAGTTTTCTTCCTGACTTCGATTGCTGTTTTTTGCGTTGAAGTCTCGTGGTGCCTTTCCTACGACTAGGTGAAAAAGTCACTGGTGGACCTCATTTTCCTTTGACATCAGATGCCTTAAAAAAAGTTGTCACTGGTCAAGTCTCTAACTTTCAGGAAGTCTTTTTAAGCATTGGCAATGCGGTAAGTACCTAAAACTGAGACTCCTTTTTCTCTTAGCGTAAACCGCTTGTTGCATTCCCTAGCCTAATCTGATATGAACTTCACCTTAGTAACTTGCAAGACTGGTGTTCTAAGTCTAAGTCTTTTGTTTTACCCCTAGTCCTATGGTTATTGATTATTGCAGTTACTAGGGTGGCTTGTAGCACTATAATCAGCTCTAAAAGAAATATTATGTTTTCTCTGATTTTTCTTTGACTTGTTTTTTTAGGGAGGAACTCGGAGTCGGAGAAGGGTATGATGCAGATATTGCCTCTATAAATGCACTTGAATCTTTCGGAGGTACCTTCCTTGTTTCTCTCTACTTTTCCTCACTTTAGTAACCTGAATTCTGCATTGTTTCTCTTTGTATCTGAATGAAATCTTTTATTTGCTCAGGCCCTGTATTGACAAAGTTCACAATTGCTCTACGAAAAATCGGAACGTACAAGGAAGTTCTTCGTTCTCAGGTACCAAAATCCAATGCCTGCCTGCAATAGGATGCTTTCTTTCTTGGGCTTCATACTTGTTTATTTTAATTTGTAATTCCATGTACTTTGTTTTGCTGTATTGGTAGTTCACAGGTGAAGCAAATGTTACAAATTTGCTTATAATTATTTGTAAAGAGGAGAATTGAAAACTTCTTAAATGTGTAATTATTAGATTAATACATTTTAATGGCATTTTTTATTTATTATAATTTAATTTGGTTTGGGTTTTTTTTATTAATTTTTTTTAAATAGCTACATAATATTCATAGCCATTTGTGGGGGTCTTCCACATACATTGTAACAAATTGTCTACAAGCGGTTGAAACAATTTGTCGCAATTGTTACAATGATTTTGGTAGAATTTTGTCTCTATTTGCAACAATATCTACGAAGCAATTTGTAGCTAATTTGTTACACTCGTTTTGAAACAGTTTTGTAACAATTTAGCTACAACATATTTACTAACAAATTCGATTCAAAATACGATAATGAACTGCTGTGACTAATTTGTAGCAATTTGCTTCAAATACATACAAAATCCAAATTTGTTACAATCGTATAGTTACGCTAGTAATTTGTAACAAATTTGTATTTGCTACTAAAACAAATTTATACCCACAAATAAAATTGTAGCTATGTTAACATTTACTTGGATCGATAAAAAGCAAGACAATCAAATACATCGACGTATAAAATTCAACTCAACGAATTTGAAGAAGACAAACAAACTAGAGCTTTCCAATAGTTTGCGCGAAATGTTATGCAATGATAGATTTTTTTTAGAATGCTAGTTTGAAACACAAAATGTTAACTTTTTAGTATATTTATTATTGAAATTTTAGATTATTTTGCTTTTGATGGTACATTGACTTAATATTTATGATGGTAAATTTAGCATCAATGAAAATGGTGTTTGTGTGATGACAGATTTAGGTTGTTTGATGCTAGCTTTATTTTAGCATAGTAGATTTATTTATTATTATTGACGATAAAGTTATTAGTAGAAAATTGTCTCTAGGTTACTCGGAGAAATTATGGTAGATTAGTTTGTAGTGGTGATAGATTTGTTAAAGAACGACAGATTTACTAACAATGATGGTAAATTTATACAATCCTTTTTTCATTACCCAAATAGTGTTCGACTGATAAATTTATTACTTCATATTGTAATAGAGTCTATGTCTTATCGATCAGCGTCTAGGCCTGCTCAAGACCTCCCCACTTTTACTATATCTTATCAATCAGCATCTAGGCCTGCTCAAGACCTCCCTAGCATAGTTTTCTCGGGCAGTTAGCAAGTTTTCCAAGGTGTGAGCATGCTGCAGTAGCATACTTCTTCTAAGTGCCGCTCGGATGGGACATATATAAAGTGGGAGAACGAGGCCAATAAAAGGAGCTCCCCCTTTTAGGAAGAGACAGAGATTGGAGGAGAAGAGGACAGCAGAACACCAAGGAGAAGAGGCAATCCTAAGAGCCTCCCTGGAGCCCAACCGGATAGCCGGACTTAGCAGCATGACTGAAGGGGAAACTTTCAACGCTCCTTGGAAGGAATGCCAACCAAGATGGGATTTTTCTTCCTCCCTAACTCTTTGTTTTATTCTCCACCAACAGAGAGTTCCAACCATACTCTCTCAATGTTCCATTTTACCCTGCAGCCCCCCCCCCCCCCTTTCCGGTCTCCTGAAGGTCCGTCTCCCCCGTTGTAAATGTTTACAAGACCCCGTCAGTTTGATGATTATTTCCCAAGTCTTGAAGCTCCAAAATGTTCAAATGCTCTTGAGGACTGATTGGTGTTCCTCGGCTTATCTCTTTGGCATGTGTATCTCTTTAATCTCTTCTTGTTCAATAAGAGTAATTAAGCTCTCTACTGAATTTGCTAAACTCCTCCCTTAGACTGCTCGTTCCTGATCGGGTCCTTGGTGCTTGTATCATGACTGGTATACATCAGCCTTGTGATGAGCTCTTGTTAAGCTAGATCTGATGTCCTAGTCACTTCTTACCCACAAGAAGGCTATGCATTGAATCCAACTTAGCCTTCCCCTCAGCAATCTGACTTCCATCCATGTTCCAAGCATGCTTCTTCTTCTCAAAGTCTGAATTTGTGGTACTATTGCTAGATGCCAAGTTCTCAATCAAATCATAAGTATCTTCAGGATACCTGATGTTGAAGTTTCCATTACTTGCAGCAACCAAAGACATCTGGTAACTATAATCCACCTCTCAGAAGAAGATACCTAGCCGTTGAACCTCATTGAAACCATCATGTGGATAATCCTCTAATATGCCTTGAATTTCACTCAAGTAGTCCTGAATGCTTCAGTTGGTCCTTAAAAAAATTTGAATACTATTGTTCTCAGCTCGTCAGACCTTGCATCATCATAAAAATTATTCAGAAAGGCATTTTTGGTCTCCTCCCAAGTTGTCAACAATCCTCACTACAACTGCTTAAGCCAATAAGCTGCATCTCCAGCAAGAGAGTATCAGAAGAGGTTGCAGAAGAGGAAGTCATTGCTGACTCCATTGGCCTTGATACTTATCACCAGATCCTCAAACCTCTCAATATGATCTATAGGATGCTCATGAGAAAGACCATGAAAATGATGCAGGCCCACAAGAGTGTAGTATGCAGGTTTCAGCTCAAAATCATGTCTCTGAAATGGAGTAGGTTAGATCGTAGACTGATTGGTATAGAACTGACCAGGCATGTTGTA